CCTCCTTAACAGAGGCAGATAGTAGCAATGTTGTCAGAAATACTGCCAAAACATAGTCAGTCTGGAGGGTCACACCTTAGGGGACCAGGAACAAACAAGGTCAGGGAAGCAATGTTCTAGACTGGACACACGAGATGAGGAGAAGGCAGGTCAGGAAGCAAGGTCTTTAAGGGTCCAGGATATAGGTGGTCACCAAAGGGTAGAACCACAAGTCAAGGGGAGAGTTAGGAACCTGGAGACAAAAATCCAGATTGAAGTCACTAGCCGGGGTGGGGGGGTGCGAAGTAGGCAACTAAAGCTCTGTGGGGCTAGGATGTGGGCAAATTCACCAAGATGAACCAGCTGTCAGAAGCACAGAGGTCTAAGCTGGAGTCTGGAACAAGGAGCTAACAGGAACCAGAGGGTGGGGGGAAGAAATACTTTGCTTAAGAAAAGTGCTTAAATTCTCATGGACTGGATAAGTACTCCAGCTTGTTTTAAACTACTTCTGCTTACACCTTCAGACTCATCTACAGGGTAAGGTTTTAAGACCTCTACCAGAACAGCCACAGATACAGTTATAGAACTTAATTTTTGAATAGAGGTACTTTTATCCTTTTTGCTTTAGGTTAATGCTCTTCCCAAGTGACATAGGTTAAACTGGAAAAGGCATTTTGATACAGGAATAAGAATCTCCAGCTGGAGAGTTACAATCAGGGATATAATTGTAACAATTTATATTGACACATTATACTATACCAAAAAAACTGTCAGTGTAAACAGGCTCTTCGCTAGCTGCTTTAAGCTTTTCTATGTTTGTCCTTTTCTCTCCTAAAATAAAGAAATGTGTATATAAGGTATATTTAAAAATTAGAATTTTTAGTATGATGATAGCAAAACCTTTTTTGTTTTCCCACATGATAAAAATGAATGCTCATATAATTTAACTAGTTGCAGTGATGAACCCTCTTTTATTCTTCTGCCTTCCTGCTGCACAGCCCTGGTAAAGATTCCTCCTCTGGATACTCACCGAGCTACTGTGTTTGAGTCTGACTACATAGGGCCCAGGACTCTTGGGCTTTCTATGGTCTGAGCAGGCAGCATCCCTAGCTCTTGGCCTCCCTGGCACACTTCCTAGGTATATGTCACCTCTCAGCTATAGCCCCCCAGCCATGGGCACTCTGGGTTTAGAGGTCACCTCTTCATGTGTGTTGAAGCAAATACATACATAAGCTTTGTATGTATTCCTCTTTCAATTAGCTAGCACAAGAAATAGGCAGATGTAGAAAAGTAGAAAACAGATCTATATACATTTCTTTGCCTCAGCTTCCTTCTCCCACTGAAGTGTTATTTGGACTTAAGTCATAGTCCTTTAAAGCAGTGGTGGCCAACCTGAAGGTCATAGGTGGCAGAGGCAGCCTCTATGTGTGGCATGTGGCAGATCCAGGAGGAAGCAGGAAGCACAGTAGCATATAGGCATGAACACCGCCTGCCCCTGGAGACTGGGGAGGGCACGGCGACTGCCCACAGGCAGCGGCAACAGTGGCGGGGGCATGGCAGTGGCGAGTGGGGAGCTCCCGCAGGTGGCTGTGGTGGTGTCAGCAGCGGGGGATGGTGACCGCCTGCAGACGCCACTGGCGGCGAGGGTTGGCGGGGGGTGGAAAGTGGTGACTGCCTGCAGATGCTGCCGGCAGCATTTGTGGAGGGGATGCAGTGACAATCTCAGGGGGTGTACATGCACCCGCATGCACCCCCTTCATGTCGCCAATGCATATAGGACAGGAAGCAGAAAACAGAGCAGCAGATTGGACATGGAACAGAGGACAGCAAGCTAAAAGCAGAATGGCTGATCAGGTGGGGGAAGGGATCAGAATAGCACTTGGTTGAAAATGTTTGCCCCCACTGCACTAAGGAGTCCAGGAGCCCCCTACTCCATATGCTTGTTTCACCTCTGAATGAACATATGAGTCTTCCTTCCATTCCATCTCTTCTTTTCTGTTCTCCCATACAAGTATCCTCTACAAAGTCTAGTAAAAGACTCTTTACTTATGATCTTTAATGTCTTTATCATGTGATTCCTTGACTGGCTTTGTCAGGTGCACTAGATACCCTGCTTGGTGACCTGTTACTTCCTTTCTTGCTTCCTGGAGTTCAGACTTGAGCAAAATGTTTTTTGCCATGCAGCAGCCATATCTTTGCCCAGGCATGTTCCAGTCTAGTGGACAATCCTCAAAAGTAAGGAACCTCATTGTTAGAAGTCAGCTGAAGGATTAGGGACCCTAAAAATGTGACTATGTTTCTGTTATTTAAAACACTTGTGTACTACTTTTTGAAATATTATTTTTAAGCAGTAAGTTTAAGTGAATAGTTAGGATACTCACCCTACAGAGCAAGTGATTTTCTAGCTCAGTGGATCTTGGCCTTCTTAGATAGAAGGCACCCCTCATTAGACTCAAGGCACCCCTCAGAAAATACCAGCTCATACATTATGCTCATTTTTTTACTATGGGAAATAATAGAGCAATTTTTATGTTTTAAAAAACTTAGAAAGGCCACAACAGGCCAGGATGTTTTTAATACTATGACTTCCTATTTGAAATCTCTGGGTTTAACTTGTAAGCACATATGCACACCTAACAGTGCTAACATTGCATGGCACCCTTGAAAGGATCTCAAGGCACCCTGGCTGGGAATCACTGTTTTAGCTAGTTCAGAACCTGGGTGCAATGAAAGAGTCCAAAAAATATGAAGCAAGAGCAAAGGGTCTTTCACAGCTTGAACCCACCATCTTCATTGTGCTGAGCAGCATCTGAAATAATGAATCAACTGAAACACTGTCCACACAACCTTGTCTCCCTGGCTGGTTTGTGTGTGTGTGTGTGTGTGTGTCTGATTTGGGGATAGGCATGGGGGCACAGCTCCCCAGTGGGGATGTGCTCCTAGATGATACTTAACAGGTCTGGTTTGAGCTGGCCTCTGATTCAGGAACCGGAGAGAGAAGAGGATGGAGAAGGAAGTAGGTATAGAAAAAGGAGAGGAGACTGGCAGAGGCAAGCAAGTGATTTTATTTTATTTTTTAATTTTCATATTCCAGGTCAAATTAGCCAAATCCACTATGAATCCTCTTGACTGAGCAACACTCAATCATTCAAACACCATATGTGACACTACAACTGGCAGGTATCTACCCACTGCACACTTTTAAGCCTGGGGCTTCAGATACTCCCAAATCTCTGCACATAGGTGGGCCCAAGCCTGGAGGTTTGGGATTTGGATGCCCCCATGTTTCACTTGCCCTTAACCAAAGGCTACAGGAACAAGTTAGGGAGGAATCCCCCATTTCCATAAAGTAGGCATGTAGCTGAGATCCTCCCTCTGGAAGCTGGTTAGTAGGAAGCTAATTTTTTTTTTTTGAAGGAACATTTTTCATGTCCCAAGTCAAATTAGTCAGATCAGCTCAGAATCCTTTGAATTATTCAAAAACCTTATGTGGCTCTACTACTGGCAAGTATTCTCCACCCAGGACTTTTCAGCCTGGGCCTTCAGATACTTCCGATTCCTTTGGCAGGCATCCTATCTGCAGGCCCAAGCCTGGAGGCTTGGGGTTCAGCTGTCCCCAAGTTTTGCTTTCCCTCGGCTATATGGCCGCAGGAGCAAGCTAGGGAGGAGCTAATTACAAGGCTAAGGACGTGTCCAGATGAGCACAGTCATGCGGTATGTGGCACTGCCAACAGGTTTGCAGTGTCATATACCACACAGTCTGGTGTTCTCTGCACTGCAAGGGCATGCTATCTGAGCATTCACTGTGCCAGGTTTTTTATCCGTAGGTTTTTTTGATCCCTGGATATCCAGGGATCAGAAAAACCCATGGAAAAAAAATACCGGAGCAAGGCACACACGGCCAGCTTGTGCTGCTGAAAAAGCAAAGCCAGGCACCCTGAAGCCATGCTCTGCTGCTGGCCAAGCTCTGCGTGGCAGAATCACTGCGGCTGCAGCCCTGGGAGGCCCCCAGAACCCAAGGTAAGGCTGATGGAGACAGCCCAGTGCTGGCCCCAGCCTCCTGTACCCCAAATTGCAGCACACCAAAGCATGCATGGCACTGGTGTTCCCACTGGTAGCTCAAGGTGCACTGCTGCTCCTTGTCCCTGGGGAACCAAACGTCCATTCACATCTGGACATGCCCTAGTAGGGCATCCTGTCTGCAGTGCATAGGACAGGGGTGCACCCTCCACTACACAATGCCATTTAAATCCATCTGGGTTTGGCTAACAGACCAGCTCAGACAAGGGTCTTTGGGTGAATCTGATATCTTTTATTAAAGCAACTCAAATAGTTGGAAATGAATAACAACTACTCATTCCATCCAGGAAGAGCACACACCAACTGCAGATGCTTCCTCAGCCTGACGAAGGGTATTTATACCCGAAAGCTTGCAACGAAGGATTTTTTCCAACTATTTGAGTTGGTCTAAGTAAACAAGATCGCATCTCCCCAAAAAACCTTGTCTGCCTGTGTCCTTAGCTACAACCTGCACCCCTGACCGGTGCAGTGGCAGCAGCTACACTTGATCTTAGCCCACAGGAGGCAGAAGCCAGTAAGTGATGCTGAGGGAGAAGAGCAGGATGAGGCAGGGAAGCAAAGGGCAAGGACCACCTCTGGGATGGGAGAAGAGAAGAGGAGGAGGACGAAGGAAGCCTTCAGCAGCAGCCCCAGCCGCCCAGCTGAATAGCTGCCTCATTGTAAGCCAGGTCCCAGGCTCCTCCCAGGGGCTGGCTCAGCAACAAAAGTATTCAACGCGGAGTCCAAGGGGAAGAAATGTGAATTCTTCCTCCCCGCCCCCCGCGCGGGCGGCGCAGGCGGCAGCAGGCACGAGGGCACGGCGGGGCTGCAGCATGTGTGGGGCGGGGGCGCCGGGCCGGCGCTGAATAGCTGCCTCATTGTAAGCCAGGTCCCAGGCTCCTCCCAGGGGCTGGCTCAGCAACAAAAGTATTCAACGCGGAGTCCAAGGGGAAGAAATGTGAATTCTTCCTCCCCGCCCCCCGCGCGGGCGGCGCAGGCGGCAGCAGGCACGAGGGCACGGCGGGGCTGCAGCATGTGTGGGGCGGGGGCGCCGGGCCGGCCGCGGGCTCATGCCTGCTGCGGGCACCCAGCCCCGCAAGAGCCGCTTTGCCAGGGACAGCTCTCGCGCCTGGTGTTGCCTTGCCTTGCCTTGCCTTGCCCTGCCCTGTCCTGTCCTGCCCCTCTCCCCCCCTCCCCCCTCCAAGCTCTCCCCCCGCCTGAGCTCAGTCACTGGGATTGGTTTCAAATGACGCCATCTCTTTATTTTTACACCAATGACCTCATCCCAGCAGCTTGAAGTTTACTGACCAGCAAAACTCTTTCTCTCTCTCCTCCTCTTCCTTGTGTCTGTTTGTTCTAACTATTTATTAGTAATTGTTTGGGTCCTTTTAGAAACCCCAAGCTTTTTCCTCCTTTATTCCCTCCCCCCCCGCCCCCCTCCCCACTTCAATTTTATTTTCAAGTCAACTTTTTTTTTGGGGGGGGGGGAAGAAAAACTCCCAGGGTTTCCTTCTTCTTCCCCCCCCAGCACCCAGATTTGCCCCCTTTAAAAAGAACAGAATAAGGATTTTTCTTTTAAAGAAGAAGGAGCAGAGAGAGAAGAGAGCTTCCCAGCGCCTGGAAGGAGAGAAAGTTGATTCTGGCAGCAGCGAAGAGGCTGGTGGCAACTTTTGTCCCTACCAAGGAAACACCAAAGAGAGAGAGAGAGAGAGAGAGAAAGGGGGAACACAGTAAGTGTTGGAAAGAAAGCAGAGAGGGGGCTGGCAGAGGGGTCTGAGGGAGATCTTGCCCTTCCCTTTTATCCTAGGAGGTTAAAGCTGGGGTGCCCCTTCTTTCATCCCACTGAGATGTGGGAAGCACATCAAGGTGGGATGTAAGTAAGATGTGATTGCCCTCTTTATTTTTCTTCCCCCCCCCCCCCAGGACTAAGCTCTCCAGAGTGGGCTGTTCCTTTCCCCCATACTCCTGCTTGTAGGTTTTTTGGATTTGTGATCTGGCTGTCTCTTTGTGGGTGCTGCTTTTTAATGTGTAGGCCCCAAGAGCAAAGGAAGATCCTAGGAAAATGAATTGGGATAAGATGGGGGTAGAAGCTGCTCATAGTGATGGCATTATAATATCCCTGAATTCTTTTCTTCTTTCCACATATCTCTTTTTCTTCTCCTTCCCTCCCCTCCCCTCTTCTTAAGGAAAAGATTTTGTTTTCCTCACCCATCTGCAATCCTTCTTTCCTTATGATATGGAGAGAAAGCTATTAGCTTCAGACACACTTTTAGATTTAAAGTGCCAGGTTCCAACCTGTTAAAGGTCTTTGATTCTCTTTAAACACTCCAAGCTGGTTTGTAAGTGAGAGAGTGAGTGTGTGTGTGTGTGTGTGTGTGTGTATTTTAATTTGCCTTTTGAAAAGTACATGGCCACCTGTCTCTTGTTTGAAATCCCATGCATTAAAGAGAACAGACAGGAGAGAAAAAAACAGGGCTTCCTTTATGCAAACAGGGCTTCCTTATAAAAACCTGGGGGGACTTTCATATGTGTTAATGTCTGCAACAATTGTCTAGAGGATATTTTAAAGAGTTTGTTGGTATGTGTTATGTTTTAGTTTTCATGTATGAATGAAATGATTCTAGCCTTCCAAATATGGTAACTAATTACTTGGATTTATGAATCTGAATATGCTTTCAATTTGTTGAAAATAATCAGAATTTTTTGAAAGGCTTTAAGAGGCAAACCTTTTTGAAATTGCTAAAGTACTACACTAAATCATATTTACTGCTAAAACCAAGCAATATATTAAAATGGGGGGTTAATCTGGAATTTAGATAAATTTGGGAAAGGTAAACGTGGTACCGTCTAGGTCTGATTGTAATAGTTTTAAAAGGAATGGTTACTTCAGACTTTCCCATGGATCTTTTTTTGAAACTCTTAAGTGATAGGAAAATGAAGAAAACACCTTCACTCATCAGCATGTGTAGCATAAGGTGTATTGGATAAATCTGTTGCATAATTTGGCCACCATAGCCTTTTCGGTATTTGGCTCCATGTATGATGAAGGATACTAAGCTATTAAAAAATATTTGTTTTTCTACTATGATTGCAATTTAATTTGATTATGGGTGTTATCTTCTTTTATTCTTATCTTCCTCTTCCACTTTTTCCCTACATGAGGGAGATAGTAAAGTTTGCTTCTGTTGTTGAGTTGGGTATAATTTCTGTTCAAACAATCTGTGTATATCCAGTATTTAAAAAATAGTGCGCTTTAAACTTGAAGTAATTTTTGGACTCTTTTTTTCCTTTTTCTTTTTTTCTTTAAAGGTTCTTTCTGTGACTTCTTTTTTTGGTCATCTTTATATTGCTTGCTTTTGGGATTTATATTTCTATTCCTGGCAGTATGTGGTTTGGTAGAGGCTGAAAATATGAAGTCACAACTGAACAAGCAGGAGGTGATTTAAACTAGTGTATTTTGGGGGAGGGTGGAGAAATGTTAAGAATTAATTTCTTTGTATGATGTTCACCTTGCTGGTTCACTTGAAATTGGAACATTCACAAGTCTGTTTTTCAAATTAGGTATGATGGAAGTGCATATGTTTTTCTTTCTTTCTTTCTTTCTTTCTTTCTTTCTTTCTTTTTTTTAAAGGTATGCGTTTCGGGGGGGCATGCTCCCCCCCCCCCCAATTTCTTGGAGCTATTCAAAACTTAAATATGCTGTTCCAAAAGAGATCCTTTGCTAGCCAGAAATGCCCCTTCACGGTGGTAGGAGAAACTAAGAAAATAAAAATCTGCAAGAGGCATATTGTATACAGTATACAAATATTGCTAACACACTAGTGCCTGTGTATACCTGATAAAATTAAAAAAGAAGAAGAAATGCAGCAAGAAAGATGGAGAAGAAAAGAGTCAGTCGTAGGTGGTAGCAGCAGGACTGTATGGGGTTTATGAAAAGTGTAAATGTTCAAAAAGAGAGTACAAGGATTTTTTTAAACTTCAGTGTACTTCATCCCTTATCCAGATCACTCATTTTCTACTGAAAATAAATCTCCCAAATTTAGGCATATCAAATAATCTGTTACAGTGACCCAGGTGAAAGTAACGTGAAAAAATCTGCCCTCAGTCGCACCAGAGCAACTATGTGAAAGAAAACTACTAACACTTGCTTTTGCTGTTTTAGTGGAGGCATCTATTATTGTAATGGAGACATTTGGTCTTGGTTTTAACTGTCCATGGGAGCTTTCCTGTTAGAAGCAATATACAGATCTTCTGGATGTCCTGACTATTAACCCAGCCCTCAACATAATGCACTTCTGGGTCTATGCCACATACAAGTGCATGGGCAAAGGTTGTAGCTGCCTTGTGTCATGGCAAATTTCTTGTACCAACAGGCTTTCTCACACCAGTCTTGCATGCATTTTTCTTGGCAGAAGCTAGAAGTGTGTAAGGTGGTTGGAACCTTGGATATTACTAGACATTCTCTGATAAAAATGAGCATAGAATATTCTCCTATCTTTCTACCTAGGACCAATCTAAATGGTTCATTCCATTCAGGCTTTGGAGGGCTAATGTAAGACTTATTCCAGTCTGTAGTAGACAACCTATTGGTAATTTGTGTCTTCTGTACTGTCTAGTTGATAAATAAATTCCCTCTCTCTCTTGGATCTTGGAGACTGGGTAAAATCCTGTTGTCAAGCAAGCAAAAACCTGAAAAAGACCAATGGAATGTGATTACTTATCCAGACAAGATGCTAACCTGCACTTAAAAATGGTGGCTGTAGTCACTGACCAGTACTTCTAACCTTAGGCTTTTTCTCCCCTGTTCCCATAGAACTACTTCAAAGCTGCATGGGGGAAAAGAAACGGATTGTTTGCTTCCCTAAGCATCCATCCTGAAAATGAGCTTTGTGTTCAGGCAGTGTTCAGTGCAAGATCACCACCTGATTTGGCTGCTGTATTTAAACTGTTTCTCCATCTCTATTCAGTCCTTTTCACCTCCTGTGGCATATTGGGAGCAATTCATGTCACCAATGCTTTATCCCAAATTGCAGAACTGGGCCCAACAGTGCCACATGGAAACTGAGGTGGGAGGCTACTTTTTTTCATTTATTCTGTTAGTACAGTTGAGTTTCCTGGTACTGTACAAACAGTTAGGAAATCATGAGCCATGCCCTGAGTACTGACAGTCCTTAGGGGATCTATTGCATAATAAGCTACAGGACTGGCAACGCCAATCTGAGATCACACTAGTGGGACCAGTTCAGCATTGCCTTCCTTCATTACTAACTTGCATAGCTGGTTTTTAATATACAATGAATAATAAATGATGTAGGTAATCCCAGAGCAGAGAGAAACAATGGAAAGCAAACCAGGATAAGTTCCTTTTGTAGGCTGTGTGGAGGTGGTCACATTTGTCCTAAGTAAAAGTTAGGATGCCTGTGCATTCTAGGGCAGGTCAGATTAACAGTTTGTTTTCACAGAACACAACTATGCTTCCTGCTACTCCCCCTCTTAGTATTTATTTAACTACTTATCTGACAATATTGTTGGGTTAGATAATGTATCTTTGTGGAAGCCAGAAAATTCTATATAGGAAAGCATCAGAATTTCTTCTCTCCTACTGGGAAAGGAGGCATGGTTTGCATGCAGTTCCTCTATTCCACTCTTGCACTCGCACAAGAAGTGTGGGTTCAGTTCCCCGAGAGTCATGGATCCTTTTCAAACATCTTGAACTTCTGTGGTCATTTTGTTGAGTGTTGCTTTACCATGTGTACATTTATTTAAACCATGTGTACAGTTGCAATCCAGTCTTGGTTTTCTAGATATCCGTGTGTCAGAGTAAGAGATTCTCTCTCTTTCCCACCTCCCTCAGACTTCTGGAGTTTTTGACATGTGTCTGGTCTAATGAGCCATTTGTATGGAATCTTGTAAATACAGCATCAGAAAAAGCTCAAAACATCTGTTGTGTTCTGCAAGTTCTACAAAGAAAAATACTGAATAATCAGAAAAAGAGAGTCACTTTTTGTAACTGTCAATTGGCCAGGTAATATATATGCAGCTAATAGCTTCTGCATGGATATGTTGGGGACAAAAGATGTGTGTATTGGGCAGTGTGGTAATCTGAAGCCTCTCCTGTCTGTTTCATGGTAGTGAGCAGAAGTCATTATTACCTGCCTGGCATTCATAAGGAATGAGTAGTCTCAGTCTGGTTTCTCATAGATATTTGAAGGACCTACCTATATAACTATGCTCATGCAGCTCCATTGGCTTCAGTAAGTGTGCCAAAAAAACCTGGTGCCATGGAGTGGAGAAAGAAGGCTGGAATCTGAACTGGCTTTGACTACTAAATGATGTTGTGAGTTAAAGCATGCTGTTAGGATAGGGACTGCTGCCACTTCCCTTGCTGTACAAGAACTTTGGATAGAGGGTTTTGGCCTTCTTTGCTGTCAAACCAGAACCTTTCATTAGATGGATCTTCATTTAATGTCTGGAAGAAAAAAAACATTTTTTTTTTTTTTTTTAAGGAAAAGTTTGGTATTTTTTTTGTCCTTTTAAATTTCTGTAGTGTAGTGAGAGCCTTTCTGACTTTGCTTAGGGATATGGCCTCTTGGCAGCTGCTGAAATTTCTTGTGGAGACCTTGTTGGCCACCAGCAAGTTACTTTTCCTCAATGACAGAAGGAAGTCTGCATTTAGGGTGGGAAGGAGGGGGTAAGGCCTTCTGTTTCCTTCTGCTGTACTATGTGGTCT